AGATAAATAAAGCTTCTATTAATGACAATAAATATTGATTTGTTTACAAAAGCATTTTCTCTGCAAATACGTTAATTTAATTTATATCACCTGTTGAAAATCAATTTTGATATTTTCAATCAATTTTTCATACAAAGTGACAGAATGATACATGAAGTTCCCATCTATACGCCGTAAACATATTTTTTGTGCGTTCAACAGCAGGTGTAAGTAACGTGTTAATTGTTGGCTAACTGAATAATCTATTATATTGAATAATGACTACAGTAGAAAGGTGGTTATCTAGAGATCGATTATCCAGGCACCAATTACCTGATCTCCCGATTGCGCGAACATTGATTTCCTGACTCTTGATGATCGGGCCGTGTAATCAGAAATTCTTGCATCGGTAAATTGGAAACAATTTTGATTTAATGATCAAATATGTGTCACATTGAAATGAACAAAGAAGTAAACAAAATTAAAAAATAAAACGGTTCCCAATTATTATTCTTCAGAAATTATTTTTTGCAAATATCTAACTTGAAAAGTTATTCAGTTATTACTTTTCAAATACATACTTTGTCAATAACCAAATTTTTCCACGAACACAGTGCACGTCTGGGAGCCAATAAGATGTTCGATATTTTCCTTTGAGCAGCATTAAAATGCAAAATAGAAAATTTTATTCAAAACGACATTGAACGAACCAATGCTTCATTGCGACGCTTTGCTACTACTTCATTAACGTTTTGGCAAACTCGGTACTTCGCAGGTGTTGGGAAAAGCTATGCTTCTTCCTTTTTTTTTCTTTTTTTTAACAGAAGAGGAGAAAAAGGAAGGAGGACGGGAAGGATGCGAGAGTTGCTCCTAGCCAGCGTCAGAAGAAGAAATCTTATCGTTGGATCGTGAAAAGAAGCGGAGGCGGAAGAAGGTAAAGCGGTAGCGGAAGAGAAGGAAAGCGAGGACAGAGAAGGAAACGAAAGATTATTAATGGCTCTTTCCACGAAAACCATAAATTTCTTGTTCACGCGCACAGTACGTTCTATTAAATATCTAGGATTTTTTAAATTACCTTTTCAAGTTAGATATTTACGTATGCCGGATATTTGCGTTAAGAGGTGAAATAAGTAGACAATTAGTAGACACAAGAAGTACGACGAAATTTCATGACAGAAAACTATTACCAAATACCACTTGTGGCGCATCAATTTCAACCTCGAAGCTTGATGAAAATAGCTGCATAAACGTTTTATCAATATTCTGAATACAAAATGGCCGGTTATCGGTTCTAGCAAACGGTGAAGTTCTATTACATTCTTGCATATCAGATAGCTAATTTCGAAACACGAAAGGTCCGACGTAATTTGATAACGCAAAAGTACCGCGAAATAACGCTTATGTCATATCAGTTTGAAGCTAAATATTTGATGAAAATGACTGCATAAACATTTCATTAATGTTCTAAATGCAAAATGGCTGATTGTCAATTGCAGCGAACAATAGTGCAGAGTGAAATTCGTGTAATATTCTATTACGAATTTCAATCAGAATATTCTATAACTATGGTCTCCGGTAATTTAATACAATATTTAGAGAATGTGTACGACTACCGGATGCACAATCAGAGTTTAATACATTTTTAATAATAGCACGATTACCTCATCATCTATTCAGTCTAACATTTGTATTTCATTGAAAAAAGATTAAAATGTATCATATTTGGAACGAAATGAAACGAAGGATTGATCCCTGCTTTTGTTACAGCATCTTTCTTGTAACATTCTGACTTTATTGGTAAAAATTTCCTTCATTGTGCCGTATCCCACTGTGTATGTATAGTTGATGCAACGTTCAGAATAAATGGAAAGAAAATGAAAAAAAGAAGCTCGCTAACCATGACTATCTTCCATCAATTACGTAGTATTGTCCCGGTATAAAGCATAATATCTGTCGTTTCATCCTTTCCCCAGGCTCCCGTTCCCTTTTGTTGGAATAAGAGAATCTCATTCGTCGCGTTTGATATTTCATGGAAACGTGTTCGATTGGTCGTTCGCTAGGTAAAACGAGTTGGAAAAGGTAAAGGAAGAGAGAAAATACGATTCGGAAAGTGCTGTGACGGGGTTGGCTAAGGGATAGGGTATAGGTATATCGATTGAACATTTGCTCAAATATTTAAACGCTATTACCGTTGGTCTGCGTACTGTTATAACATACGGGCGAACTCGGTCGCTGTACTCCTCTCACCTACAATATCAGAAACTACTAAACTCGCCCGATCGTTCCATGTTCCCCTTGGTTTCGTGTCACGGCAACAACCATTTTACCGGCTAACCTCAGATCCAACGATTCAAGGTGATACAACCCAATCGTCTGATTATTTAATGCTACCGATCGCGCCAATCAAATACAAACTCTGTGCAAATATTGCTATATGCGTAACCCTCGAACGGCGGACCATGGAGAGAGCCACAATTTTAATCTAATTTCGTATCGCGATTCGCCCAGGGTTAATGGGTGGATGTTGACAGTCATTATTTTGATGGTTCATTATGAAAATGATGTGTTCATTTCTAATAAAGTTCCGTGCAATAATTTCTATAGAAAGTTAACGAAAAAACTTTCAAAGTAGTTTTCTTAGAAGGGCTATTTTTCCCGTACCAGAATTAATTAAAAATTTTTCTCCCTTAATTTTTTAATCGGCGAGGGGCAACGTAAAAAATCAATAATTAAATTTCAAAGTTACACCATTCTGTTATTTAACGACCTTCCTCTTTTATTCTTCTACCAGCTGTAGCCAAACTCGTCATAATTAGGAATGTAAAAATTTTTTATTTTAAGTCTTTGAAAAAATTTGCAATAAGGATACGACATGCAATAGAAAACTCTTGAATACGAGGTCACTGGCCCGGTGTATTTTAGTTACAATGAATGTACCTGGCCCGACCGATATTTACCACCTTCGATTCGGAGGCATACTTTCGTATTTATTGGTTCAATCCGGAAGGGCCGATTTGTTCAGCGCCTTGGTCGGGTATCTCGCCAATCAACATTCCAAGCATAGGGACCACGTTGCCAATTACGGGGCCCGCGATACAATCAGCACCACTATGCGCCTATTTATTTGTTCAACTGGTCGTTCGTGATACAAGTAGAGAACACGCTGCGAATATTGTACCGAGTATGCATGTAAGACGATTAACGAAAGCTTTGAATTGAAAAAGAAAAAAAAAGGAATACCGCACAGACGTTGGGGTACATTAATTAGAAACACGATCAACGTTCCTTTCTACTGAAAGATAGTCATTATGGATAATATGGTATTTAATGTTTCCTAGAACGCCTTTTTATTAGCCTCGATTAGTATCACTTGGATCTACAATGGCCTACCGTTCAGGTGTAAATTTTTTAATATTAATATTTTCGAAATAAGGATCTTAACGGGGATTTTAGTGTACAAAGCGTTGGACGAAGGTTGATGGTTTCGCATCGTGTCTACGGGTCGTCTTTCATGGGTGCACACACGTATTTAGAAATCGTGTGCGTTCCCGCTTGCACGAGAAGGGATGATGGTCGAAGGAACGGGCAAGTGGAAGGGGTCAGATGACGACCGGACCACCGTGCTCTGAGAGAGAAGCGACATTTTTATTATGCTTTTTCTGCTGCTGCAATCATTTGCGTGCAAGTATGCGCATCTAGAGCGAAAGAAACTAATATACAGGGTGTTTCTTAACACGTACAAGCATAATCAAGATCATCCTATCATCGACATCCACTTTTAAAACAGTGAAATAATCAAACCTGCCTTTTCCATATTCTATTTCAATTTAAAGAGATAATTAAATGAAAATGACTTATTTTACAGCGTGAAGCATGAGATGAAGCCTAACTTTCGGATGGCGGACCATGGAGAGAGCCCCAATTCTAATTTAATTTCGTATTTCATATTCCTGATAACGATATCAAATTTTACCGCAATTAGAAGGACTAAAAAATTATCGCAAATGACTTATTCGCCCATTAAAAACTACAGCAAATGGGAAAGCGAAAATAAAGAAATTTTCAATCGTAAACGTACCCATGCAAAATAAATCTGTTTAACCCTTGACACAAAAATAATTGCAGAAAGAAAATTGTTAAAAATGAGAAAACAAGCGTAGCAATTTTCGAAAATGCAAACTTTGTTTCGTATCAGTGTTACGAGTTACATTGAAATTGAAATGCGCAATGCGTAACGTTAGCTTCAGCGTAAGCAGCAAAAAGCGTCGAGAGTTTTACGTATTTTCCTGGCAGCTGTACGTAGAAAAGACGGAATACGAATATTCGGTTAAAAATGCCGCAATTAATTACACGTTATGTGTATAAAGGTGGTAACGGCTGATGTACATTCTTCACAGATAAAAATACGTTTCGTGCCGGTAAGCAGGACGCGTTTCTTCTTCGGTTAACGTTTTCGAAATACGCGTTTTTAATTACAAACCGACCCAGTTTATTTATTAAAATACTTTTTAATATTTTAGACGTTACTCTGGAGCCGGAAGAATAAATAAATAATATCTGCATTCGATAATTTAAAAAGAAAACTTTTCGTAAAAAACTCTTACTGATTCTTTGGAACTTAAAATCACACGAATTTCATTAAAAATACGATCTCCATAATCTTTATGGAGTCATGAACACTTGACACCAATCATCGGAGTGTTTAACACGTTCGAGCCCATTGAAGTACTCTACTCATCCCACAGAGGGGGCTATCTTTAAGAAGTCGTAAAATTGTTCAACCGTGAAAATACACGAAATTCGATCGTTGAACAACGTCTGCACCAATTGATGTCGCGGTGCTCAAGAACGCATGTAAGTTCTTCAGCACCGGTACATCAATCGTGCCGCTGCTCGACGATTACATTTAAAATTTCGCCTTATCCGAGTTACGCCTGTTACTCGGGTTCGAACGTGTTAACGGTACATACAATTATAATCGAGTACATGGAAAAGGAGAAACAGTATTCCAATGTACTTACCGGTGTTGTGTAGGGCTGACAGGCCAACCTGATGCCATCGTGCCTAAGTTTCTCCTGCAGCAGCACTCTGAGTTGCATCTTTGGGATTCTGACGAGCTCCGCTTTGCCCTCCTCGTATTCGTCCGCGAACTTGGTTAATTCCTGTCCCCCGCTCGACGAACTAGCGGTAGGCGATGCCCTCTGCGCTTCTTTGTCACTCAACGGCCTCTCCGAAGAGGTTCGAGACGATTTCGAACTAATATTGTCGCACAAACAATCGTTGCTCTCTTCCAAAGTGAAGTAAACGCTCGCCGCGCCCTCTTCCCGAAGTGTCTTCACCGATTGCAACAACCGGGCCCGATGCGTTTGATTAAATACACCGATCGCGTCTAGATCGGGATCACCGATCTGTTTGCAAATCTCAAGATCGTCGTAGCCATTGTCGATAAAGGACTCGGAGTACTGGCCGAGATGAAGTGAGCGTAACCACTCGACCACTATGTTGCTAGCCATCGTCATTGTTCGTCGGTTTTGTGAACGCGCGAGGGCTTTAACGCGCCCTCTACTCGTTCACGTGTTCTTCCCTTCCCCCTACCGATCCGGTCTCGATCTGTCCTTGTCCCTTTAAGCGCCCTGTCTCCGGCGTGACATCTTCGAAAGAATGCGCTACGATCTTTTGCGAGTACACGGTCACGTGGTAATATTTGATCCCGAGGTACGGACCGCGTTATCCAGTTAAATGGCCGCCACCTCGAGATCAACCGGCTTCTTACGGATAGACGATGCCGGAAGTGATTGCACGCCACCGGTCGTCGCGTTCGCTCTTCAACGTGCAACGCTCATTATTTTTCAAATATGTCGAGAATACTCCGTGTCCCTGTTACGGTCTCCTTTACCGAGCAATTTAAACGCGTTCGAATGTGCACGTGTCACGATTCAACGTACGCGAACCCCACCCTCTCCGGATCTGCTGCCATTCGATCGAAATTCCGAACGAGGGATAAATTTCCTTTTTTCTATTCAAGTATATAGCGCACTGCCACCGAATAGTTCACACTGTATACACACCGGCGAAACTTTTAACGATTCACTTTGTTCCTGTTGCTTACTTACTCGGAAGGTCTTGTGTTTGCTCCTTTTCGAGCGTCAACATTCCTGTCACGACTCCAAACACTGTAATCCTTGATACGAACTACGGTCCGTGGCGTTCGACGGTAAACGCGGTCGGTAAGCGATGACGTAGGATGAAATTGGAATATTCTTTGAAGAATCACGCGCGAAATTTGTCGAACGTCAAACTTCAGTTGGCGTCGGGTAGAACGAAGAAAATCGGAGCAACGGATCGTTCGTGCTGGCAATGAAAGCTTTAACCTTGAAAATCCTTTAAAAGAGGAGCGACCGACACGGAGCAGAGAGCACGCGGTCCGGTAGTGAAACAAACTCGCTTGCTTTTACTTTTGTTCGGGGATTGTTGCTTAAAACCGGCTCGAAAACATATTTAGCGATAATATCTCGACGTTATTTTTCACTGAACTCACATCGTAATCGCGAGAGATAAAAGCGTTATTGGAGCTCGACGAGACACGAGAAACACGACACCACAAGCACAACACTACCGCTACGCGATACACGGCTCGACTGACACGAGATATTCGCCAGAGGGAGCTCTACGCGTTTCCTCTACGCTCTTCCCCCACTCCTTCCACCGAAACGGCGCATCCACACCACTACCGCGCTTCTTCATCCCCGCCAGCAGTATAGTAGAAGCAAGTTGGACCAACGACATCCTGTTGATGCGCTCCTGCGCCGCCAGGATGCAACAGTCTTGTCCTTCGTTTTCTCTTTCTTCTGTTGTGCTCTTTCTTGAGCTCGAGGTGAGAAAGCTACACTGCGACAACAGTAGTTTTATTTTTCTTTTATTTATTTATCTACCCATTGATTGCTGCAGTGACAATCATTGGCGTATTTAGAATCTTTGTTTGGTGTTTTTCTAACCTTACTTATGTTCAATGTTTGGAATTGTTTGATTCTAATACATTTAGGGGGAATTAATATACCTTTTCATATAATTTAAATTATTATTATTTTTAAATCATGGAATATAAAAGTTTCATATATTAAAATTTTTTGAAAATTAAATGAAAATTTGATTGATTAGGTTATATCAGGATTGCGTAATACATATGAAAGTTATCACAGGAAGCAAATTCATTGTCAGTACCGTAGTAATTTCCCGTATTGCGGAAACGAGTTAATATATTGACAGGTGACTCGTCTTTCAATCTCATGCCCGGTTTAAAAGCAAATTACTCGACCAAAGCGAGGAAATAGCGAGAGCATGCATCGAGGGGGTCCTTCGTGTCCATGGCACGCGATGTCATATCACGTTATTGAGAGCTACTTGTCACTCCCTACTTTGGCGTCATAGCAATACAAGGACATCCACACATGGATCATCCAATTAATTCCATTCTTACACAGATATATACCCAGGATAATTTCCAAGATATTTCTGTACGTTCACCTTTGTCGATTTGTCATTCAAACATAATTATGGAAATACCTAAAAGAGAGCATCTAATTACTATTATTGGGACAGCACAACCATTTTTGAATTATTTAAATCTCATATTATTTATGTTATAAATATATTAATTACTAATTGTAGTTTACGAGTGCATAAGCATTTGCTTTTTAAAAATAATATTTGAAAAAATATTTTGTTCAAAAGGTAGATAGTGAGGCTTTATTTCGAAATATTCTATTTATTTTAACCTTACTATCATTTATCATTGATTTATGTTGACTAGTCTATTTCATATTAGACTATGAAATAGAAATGCTTATCTATGAAATAGAAGTGATTGTATTGGTATCACTATCTAAAATTAAATTACTTTTTCTTTTAAACGATATAGCATTACTTAACGTCTTCGACTTAGTTTGAAGTTTTCCTTTGAATAATACATTAAGTTCGTGCATCGGGATAATTGTCTGGTGAGCATGATAAAGGATGAGCTCTGAAAGCAAGTAATCAATGAATACGAACTAGGATGAAATGTAGTCCCCATAGACTCTAGTTAATGTTTTATCTCTAATCGATGGAATAATGAAACGTGATGGGAACAAATGCTTATGCGGGCAGAGTATGATGCCTGAATTATAGAGAGACGAAATAGACGACGAATTTAGTCCATTAGATTAAACAATTTAATAATATTTCTTTAATATTTTTCTTTTCGAGTTTCTGTAATAATAATTATTAATTGGGATATTTATTTTTCATATTATTAATTGTTGTTACATTTATTAAAATTTAATATCATACAACATACAAACATGCAAAGTATTAAAAAAATCTTTTTCTTGATTTTGATCTAATTTGAAAGATAGAGAACAGTCGATTTTGTCTTCAGTCGATAAGAAGGCGACCTTACACGTTTATAGATCAATTGAGATCAAAATGATTTAAAATCATTTTTAAGAAATTAATTATAGCGTTATTTTATTGTATTAAATAATTAACAAAAATGTCTATATTTTACACGTCAGTGAACAAACAAAAAACACATTGCAATCTTTCTGTAATGTTAATGGTTGAAATTGAGAGAAATTATAATAATTGCACAAAACGATAAAGTCATTATTTGTTAGGTCCTGTTAAATTAATTAATTTTCCATGGGGCACCTAAATATTTCCTTATAATTATAAACGGTAAATATAATGGCGCGTTTATAACAACGCCTGAAACTTTACAACCAAGATTACAGCTTTGTTTGTATAGCATAACAGGCGGCTTTGCTATGAGAGAAAGTAGTCGTTGCTGTACATTCGCGATCAAATCAGGCTCCCTCAGGAAAAATGGTGATGTCCCGGATTCTCGCCCTTCCCCATAGCCATCCCCAGAGAGAATGACAACGTAACAGAGGTCTCATATATACAGGTTTCTATTTATTCATATTTCTCAGTTATATACTAAATTTTATAATATTAGATATTTTTTTCTAAATTACTTTTAATCTTAATAACGTCAAAATTAAGATTTTCCAGAGAAGCCTGATTTGATTGCGAGTGTACTTGAACTACGTAACTGATATTTTCCAATACATAACAAAGCATACAATTTTCCCATAAAACAAAATTAAATATTCTTTTACTACCTGCGCTCGCATATTTCAAACCAACCGACCATAAATAACAAAATTCATTATTGTTATTTATTTTACTCCATAGTACCATATACCACTGTACATATAAAACAAAACTATCGTTATGTTTATTATAGTTTGAAGAAAATGACAGGAATGTCAGACAAGTCGGCATTAACTCGCGATTTGCCGGACAGTAAGCAAAGAATAACGTGTTCAACGATGCTACAGAAATGGCGATCATAAATAGCATGCCTGTGGACCAGTATAAAAGTTGAGCGACTAAAAGAAGCTTAAGCCAGTAGTCGCTTACAAAAAGCTAGTGGGCATCGTTGGATAAGCGTTATGCGCGTATATCATCCGTGTTAACTGCCGATATAAAGTTGAGGCAAAAATTTAGATGTACGATACAGGATGGCCAGGTTGTTTCGCGTTACGATGTTCGTTACGTCGTTGCAATTAAATGGTTGGGCGGTTAGTATATTTCACCACCGCTTGATTTATTGGTCTCAGACGAATCGTTTCATTTCGTGTCATTAACACTTTACGGTATACAGCTGGTTGTTTCAGATTACGCTCGTTATCGTAACAATTTTTCTATTCCCTTCTGCTACATTTACCTTCTCCTCCGAATCTTGCAATGCCTTGACGTAAAATTATAGCCTCTATTAATTATTGCCTTTGGTATGACTGGATTATGTATTTATTTACCTTTATTTAAAATTTCAGTTAAGCATTGTGATAATATCATAGGCAATATGTAATTAATTAACAAAACTATGGCAAAAATGTTTCATACAATGGTGATTCAGTACTTACAATGAGGCAGCAATTTTCCTCTTCTCCGATGTTGTTTAAATACTGAGGGTGCTAATGATACTTTGGAATCTACGTAATTAAGCAGGGGTCTTGGGAACAAATTTATACCAGCTCTAAATCCTCCACGTTAGATGAATGTTTACGAATAGCTCCTACATTGTATGCATTTCAAGTTGCCAATTTCTCTTCTCATCAGAATAGTAATATGATTCCGCTGTAATTGGACGTGCAAATAGCATTCGGCTATATTGCGCGCAAAAGTCACGAAAGGGTTTGAAAAATAAATTACTTTTCTAATTGAAATTTTTGTCATTTCGAATATTTTACCATAATAAGATTTGACCACCATTGCTATATAACCTCCAGTATTCTAATACGATTTAAAAATCAGAGCAATTCACTTATTTTTTATCAAAGATACCAATTTCAGCTATAAAATCAATAGTTTGAGCTTCTTGCTTTCCTTTTCCTCAAGTTAGCTGTCTGGGTGTTTCCTATCGTATCAGACAAAAGTTGAACGACGCCATAATCCTGGAGCATGCACATAACGCGGAATGCACTTTATTTCTGACGAAGGGTGCATAAAAGACGATCTTCGTAGGCGGAAATGCTTAGGTCAGTACTGGGAGGCAAGTTGGTCGTAAAATAATGTCTGGCTGGTTGTTCTTTTGGCAATAAGTATACAGAAATGCTGCTGGACAAATACGGTTAAATGTATGTAAGCGCGGTTACACGGGAAATTTACATCTGTGTACGTACGCGAATAAAAGCATTCGTAAAGTTGGTCGCGAAGAATCGTGAAATAAGCGTGGGGTACGTATGTACGTTTTCTACGTTTACAGATACTATTACGAAGATAGCGGTAGGCAACTGAAAAAGTACACAACCCGGGGCTTTCTGGTGGGAAACGAAGGGTGGTTGCAAGAAACGGGGATGGTGAACTAGGGGTGACTTGAAACGGCACGTACTGACGTATCTGACACACGTGCATATATGTTGCTTACTTCGAACTCTATTAAAACTTTCACCTTCTCCACATTCATTTTTTTTTCTTTTATTATTATCACTTAACTTTGGAATATTAATATACGTCAAATTTATAAAACTTTCCAAACGATCTCCTTCCCCTTCGTCACTCAAACATTTTTATTCATTTACAAAAAAGATTTACCCTTTTTTAGAAATCTGAGAAAAAGTTGAATTTTTGACGGTTATAAAAGATTACGATATAGATTAGAACTGATGAAATTTTTTTATTCAAACATATAAAAACTTATTACAATTTCGTCTAAATTCACCTTTCTCGATTAATTCCATAGATTCATCCTCGGCAGAAATTATTTACACTAGTTTGCAGGTATTAAATATACTCATAATTTTCCAATAATTTCTATTAGAAAAAAGAGATTATATAATCAGACCTACGTTTGATTAAGTCAGCTGTTTTCGAATATTAACTAAATAATTGTAAGTTAAACGAGCAACTTATTTGATGGAACAGGATAAGAGTACCCATCGTCTTGTCCTCCATGAACTCCGTGGCTTGGTACACCATAAGAAGGGCTGGGAAAATGGACCGATCCAACTGACAAATCCGAGTATCCACCGGCGGGAAGGACCGCAGGTACACCATAAGATTTAGTAGGCACAGTCAGGTGACTCAAGGAGAGTCCGGTTCCAACAGCTACGTTTGATGGGACACCGTAAGTCTTGCTAGGATAGCTGACCGTGCCAAGCGAGACTCCAGCAGCGGGTAAAGGCTGGAAGTTGGTGCTTGGTACACCATAAGAGTGGGATAGACTTCCGGCTCCCAAAGACACCGAACCGACTGACACTGGCTGGTGTACCGATGGAACGCCATAGACCGAAGCTGAGGCGTAGCTAGGGGTACCATAGGATGGAGCTGGAGCTGGAACGTGACCATTGTAAACCGGAACATGGCCATGAACACCGACGGATGGAACTGGCTGTACAACGGAAGTAGCGTAACTTGGACCGACTGTTAACGTTGGAACACCATAAGTTGGGGCGGGCACTGCAGGAGCGTAAGACGGAACAGCATAAGTTGGAGCTGGGACAACTGGATATGGTTTCTTGATGATTGCGACCGAAGGTACAGGTGGAAGGTAACCTCCGGGAGATCCAACCCCATGTCCTCCGTATACGACTCCGGAAGCTACTCCGCCAGAAGAGTATCCATGGTGTCCGGTAAGTAGACCTCGTTTTTCCACTTTCTTTGATACTGTGGCCGCGTTAACCGCGATCACCGAGACCAACAAAAAAATCTGAAACAGAAATAAGTTGTTAATTAGATATTGGAAAATTAGTGGACTAAAGAATTAATTCTTAATAGGAACACTCGTCAGTAAAAAAAAAAAAAGATATATTAAGTAATTATTCTAATTATAGTCAGAGTAGTTAGAAATCACAGTAAAAAATTGTAATTATCTTGGCAAGTATAATTTATATACATATAACAAAAGTTCTATTGGTCCTATAAAGAGTTAAATCAGGAGGGTTAAAAATTAATATTTTCAATGAGATTTGCAATTGACTAATTGAATTTTTCAAGTAACTCGAAATCAACCCATTAAGTAATAAATACTGCTTACAAATATTAACAATTATTGCTGAAACTAATTGAGTTGACTGAATGAAAGAACTGTTACTTACTACAAAGGCTCTCATGGTGTACGTATGGTAAGGACTAGAGTCGAAGTGTGGCTTAAACGAAAGATTCGATGGTTTTTATACAGCAACGTCACATGACAATTCCTTTCACTAGGAAGATGCAAAATCTCCCAAACTTTTTTACTGACGTAAAAAACCTTGTTCTAGAATGGCTTAAAAGTTCATCGAGTTGGAAAAGCTGTAATTTACTCAAGGTGAAGAATATGTATCTATGAATAACCTTTTCTATCTATGAGTAAAACATTTTAACTTTTTTTTTTTTTATTTTAAATTACTGAACAATTTTTAATGAAGAGAAATTAAACGGAGAAATTAAAATATTTTTTTCTGCGTTTCTTCTTTTAATTCTTTCGAATCCTTAAAAATTGTCTATCTCATAGATTTTACTTCCAAAGTTAATAAAACATTTAGCTTGTAGCTGTAAATTAATGAAAGTAATTTACAAATTAGTAATTTTATAATGTAGAAACTCCAAAAAGAATATATTTTAGTTAAAATCCAAGAAAAAAAAAATTCTAGAAAAAGTATTCATATAACCGTGCATAAATTATTTGAGTGCGTTATTAGCATTACATTCGAAAATTCGTTCACACGGTATTTTAGATATCATTTCCTTATTAATTGCCATGTGAAATCTTATTCCCTTGTCAGTCGGTCGTTCTATAAATTCCAATACGCAATAATGCTAATATATTTTAAAAGGAACAACATTCTCAGCGAAAAAAAAGGATATTCATTTCATTAAGTTATGCAAATCGGCCACCTACTGAAAGTTCCGTGCATTCGACGTAACACGTGTATAATCAAATATTCGCAATGCAAGATTTCGCTATCTCTGTGTGCGTGTGTCGTTTTGTTATATAAACTTCAAACTCATAAAAAAAGAGAGAGAAAGACCACGCTGTCGCCTTTTCGGGTCAGAATTTATGACGGAGTCAAAACAACGCAGACAGACAATTTTTCGGTAACACACACGTGCCGATTTAGAGTGGCTCGTAAATGTTACTCAACTTCAGAGACACTGGCTTAATTCAGATTTCATCAGTTAAGTCGTTCAAAAATCGAACTGATTATCATAAAAGAAAAAGAAATTACCGATTTATTATTCCTGTAATTTACACATATTTCACCCCTTTCCCTAAACAGGACCGTTTTATCCATCTCTGTTTTATGGTAATCCAAAGATTTACTTGGCAATTCTTTATATTCCGGTGATCATAGATGGGAGAACGTAAAAAAAACGGGGATATTGTAAATTGAGACATATTCTCATAGAAATGTGCAAAGCATGGCGGACGTAGAGAACGAGTTAATGTCAGAGATTAGAGGTAATCCGTTCTGGTTGGCAATCGTCGAGCAAGACCCTCGTTCACAGTTTCGATCTAGATACTGCACCAGCAGACCAAGGCACCACTTTCCTTCCCCTCTTTTTTTTTTTCTTCACCTCTTTTCACCCCTTTTCCTAGGCAGGATATATTAGAAGGAATTATGGAGAACGTTTCAAGTGACGCAAGCATTAAGGCTACGCAAGCTCTTAAGTACCTAGTGCCAGCGGTAATTACACTAATTACAGACTCGTTAAGATTCTTTATAAATACCACGCTTTTGTTTCCCTTTTCTCCGAAGTCTTTGAGAAAAATGTTATGAAACAAGTTGGCAAAGATTTACCCCGCTCTGAGAGCTTCTTCTTCACTTCTATCTGGTTTCCTTCTATTTCTTCTTTTTCTCACAATTTTATTTTTAATCGTGATTGATCCATTTTTGGAACGTTTTACGAAGTGTTGCCAAACTTAAAATTTTCATTTAAGATTCTGCATTTTTAATTCTTTTTTTCAATTTTAAATTCTATTAAATTTATTTATTTCACGACTTTTACCAAAATCAAGAAAGTTGAATGACATATTATTAACATTTCCTGTTCACCACTTTTACTTTTAATGAATCGATTTATACTCTTTATCACCGATTAACATTTTCAGTAATTTCGATCAGACGTGTCATAAATAAAAGTCAATAATTAATTCTGGAATATTAATTCGAGGTTCTCGTGCAAAAATTATGCATCCATAATTAAATAGAAACAGAGTTTCTTTAAACACTTTCACAAGAAACCTTGTGTATCTTAAATAAAGCAGGACAAATATTTAAACTATACTACGGTTATGTACGAAATTGTTTCCTTTTAAACAGTGAAGAAAGAATTGCTTATTGCAAACTTGCAACAATTTTTCCAGATCAAGTGTACACTGTTACGGTCATTCACTTTTTGGAAGTGAAATCGGTCAAGTGTTTCGTTATATGGAATTTATGAGAATACCCTGATTCAAGAATCTCAGTTAATTATTCATGCGTTTCACATAGAACGAGCTTGTACATTTTGAAATTCCGTGATAACCAGTTTAGTGAAAGTGGATAGAGAAGTGACATGTCAGGAAGTAACAGTAATAAGAGAATTTTGAAAATGAAATATGCCTAGTTTTTATAGTTGGTTTCTAAAAAATTTCTAATGTGTTTTCTACGTTCATTTTGCAACAATTTTATGAATCTGAAAATTTGAAGTAATTTACATTTAATTTTTGTCATTTCTTCACTTGCGAATTTTAAATTTCAGGGTGTTCTTTTAAATATTATTTATCAAATTTATGCAAATATATGCAGTTATACCTAATGTTATAACAATGACATTAAAGGAAAATATTAGTTTGGCAACTAAATTTGTTATCTTTCTTCGTATTTTGATTAAAAACAACTGCTATCTTAAACGTTTATTGCAATTAGTCTTGCAATGATTAAAAGAGAGGTGTGCTTAAAGAATTCACAGTACGAAAATTCTTTTGGTAAGCGAACGAGAGAAAAGAAACAAAATTTCGCATCTATCCAAACGGTTGGTTTGGATTTCACGATGAGAGTCGTTGGGGGAAAAAAGGGAAAAAAGAAAAGGAAATTTTCGTCTGAGCGAAAGCAGCGTGATTGGCGGAGCGTTAAGCCTCGAAACGTCTCACTAAAAAGTACTTTGTCTCCTTACCTCCTCGAAAATTTTCTTCTTCTGCAAGATAAGGAGCGCTGATGAACGCCGAACGGGTCGCTGACGAATGTCTCGTCGCTTTGATAATTTGAGCGGATTTTCCTTTGTATAGGATAAGGAGGAACAAAGCTTCCATGGGGTGGTGTTTTAAAGTAACTGAACCGAATATTTTTAAGCTCTTTACGTGACAGTCCCTAACACACTATGTAATGCCAAGTTGTTATTTCTGTAACTATTGAAAATGCCAGAAGAATATTTTACCCGAATGTTGTTTGACTTGACAGGGGGAAATTTAGAAGCTTATTCTTCCGTAATTGATCGTGTTTGCTAATGACATCTGTTAATTTCTCATCGAACGTAAGGAGATCAAAGACGGTATCCGTGAGAAAACTAGGAAAATACGAGAACCCGCATACGGAATTCGATGTTATAACGTTACAACTCGTTACACTGTCTGGCATCAGAAGGCTTCATTGTGTAGCTTAGCACTTTAGACATTGTAGACTGATGCCTCAGCTTAATTGGAGTGTTACATACTCCGTTTTCCCTCAGCCACCCCCCATATCCCGTTAGTGTTATAAGCAGTAGTCCATGGAAGTACTCATTACTGAACTTGTTACCGATATCACGATGTGTTATTAACCGAAGATTTTAATTATGAACGTGTCAGTTGGATCGATTCGAAAGATTTCATCTGATCCATTTATTTCTTCCGTCAATTCAATTTGTCGGTCATTGTAATTGATTTACTAACCCTGACTAATTGTTATGAAAATGAGAATTATATTATTGATTCGAAGTTTCTTGAATTTCGCATTAAAATTGCATTATGATAATTAATTTTTTAAAGAGAATATAAAGAAATAATTTCTATAATACCCCCTCCGTATCTCATTTATATTCAGCTTAATTTTCAGCATGTTTTTAATGCAATTTTATTATAGAATTAAACAAACAAAGGGCTGCATGCACGATAATATATATAGATTGTTTTTGTACAATGATCATGTATAGAAACGCGTGACAGCAGTCGCTTTTTGCTCGAAGCTCAACTTGAGAATAAAGCGAAAGCTTAATACGAGCTTAACAACATGAATAACACAGGCAATTATCGTAATACTCGATTATCCCAGTGCTTGCATGCTCGTATCCATAATCTCGGCCTCCAAATGACGATTTATTACAACTTCGACCATTCACGTTGCTAAAAAGCTTCGAATAAATTCCTTGGAATTACAAAAACAAATTGTACCAATCGGTGTTTCATCTGCTCCTAAATTAACCTTTGGATTACGGACCATGGAGATAGCCACAATTTTAATTTAATTTTGTATTTCATATTATTTTCATTTTTTTATATTTACGTATGAAACTCTTTCGTTTAAAAATGATACATTTAACTTCTAAATGTTTTGTAAATTTATTTTCGATATTGGTTGAAAAATAACGAACGCGTTTTATATTTTGTAGCTATTAATTAATTTTTAACCCATCACGAAAACGTCGAGGGTCGTTATTCATTAAATCTCGCAATTATTAGTACTTGTTAATTTAACACCCTTAATCCAGTCTAGAAAGGTTACCTTTCAAAGTAAGACGCAACAAAACCACGTGAAACTTCAAACGAAACGATTTTTTCTTTTTTCGAGTGAATTTGAACTTGTGCGCGAAGGTCGCATTAATCCTTTCGCTCTACCCCCGGTAGACTTAAAAAAAAAAAGGAAGAAGGAAAAACTGAAAAATGAAAATGAAGAAAACAAGGAAAAGAAAGGTCTGCAGACGCATAATTAGAGAGTAGGTACGAAGGACGTGTCTCGAGGTATCGTTTACTGAAAAAGTGCTGAAATTCGGGAGTGGGCTGTAAGGGTGCGACCTACGACGACTTCGAGGTGGCGGCGTGAAGGGTTAGGGGATGGGCGAGCAAGAGAGAACGACTACGACGACGACGACGACGACGACTTGCTTTAATTAAATGCCCGTAATTGCGTTTCCCGCTAATTACCACGGCTCTCCGAGGAACGTTATACTACGAAGTCGAAAAAAAATTCGGGAACCTGCTGAACTTTGTTAAGTA